GTTGGCTTCAGTATTTGGAAAGAAAAGTTTAAAAAGTTTTAATAATGGTGTGCCCTCCATATCAATTGTTAATGACAACACTCTGTGCCATATTGTAGAAGACAAAATCATTCATTCTAGGTCCAAGGCTCTGTCAATGAAAGCAAGTTCACATTCTCCACAGTGGGCAGCAGAGGGGTACTCTTGATTTTTGCAGGTGTCACTGAACTCGAGAACCCCTGTTCTAATCCCTACAGTCCCTTTTTCCCTAGGAATTTGTCCCTAGTTCACAGTGTTTCCATGCCAAGCAACAGAAGGGCTTTCCTTACAGATCTTCATATTGAAACAAACCACAGACAAATTCCTATTACTGAGTCATGGCTTTGGTTTACTCATCAGATCTCCAGCACAGGACTCACAGTCTCTATCTTATGCCTATCACTTTGTGGGTTTTGTTTCTCCAGAGTGCTAGAGAAAGGGTTTTTGATTCAAATCAGCATAAACTGCTGTTAGGAAAGAAAAGGTCCCTCTTTATTTGCAGTTTGGTAGCCAGAGTGCTGATTTAGCTTCATGCAGAATATATAATCCCTTCCTTTGTTTTCTTAATACATTTGCTTGTGCCTCAATAATGAAAATTTCTACTTTATATTTATAGTAATTTGTTTATTTGCCTTCTCCCCCTACTCTCTCTCTCTCTATATATATGTATATATGTATATAGATGTGTGTGTGTGTGTATATATATATATATTTTTTTTTTTTGACAGAGTCTCTCTCTGTTGCCCAGGCTGGAGTGCAGTGGTGAGCTCTCAGCTCACTGCAACCTCCACCTCCTGGGTTCAAACAATTCTCCTGCTTCAACCTCCTGAGTAGCTGGGATTACAGGCGCCCGCCACCATGCCTGGCTAATTTTTGTATTTTCAGTAGAAACAGGGTTTCACCATGTTGGCCAGGCTTGTCTCCAACTCCTGACCTCAAGTGATCTGCCCTCCTCAACCTCCCAGAGTGCTGGGATTATTGGCCTGAGCCACTGTGCCTGACCTTCCTCTACTGTATTATAACATCTTCAGGATGACATAATTTCTCATTCCACTTAAAATCTTCCATAGTATAACCACAATACTTTGCACATAGTAGGCTCTTGACAAATTCTGTTGAATCGAAAAATGCATTAAAAATGATTGCCTCATACTAGTAGACTTTCTTCCTTCTTAGTAATTTTAAAAGGGGGTTACCCTGTTTCGATTTCTTATCACATTGGAAAGGGTGCATTAACAGAAAGAGGCCCGTCTTCCTCAGTGGTTGGGGTCCAGAGAGTCCAAATACTTCTTCTCCATTCTGATTAGATCATATTTCATTCTGAACATAGCCCACTTTGAACTGACATTCAAAAGCACCTTCTCTCCTCCATTTCTGCCCTTTTTCTCCTTGCCCATCTATCCTTCCTTCATATTGCTGCAGCTCCTTGTGGTTGAGACCTGTTCTTGTCTCTATCAATAGATTCTTGCAGTCTTCAAATTGGAGCCTAAAAAAAAACACTGTATTTTTTTGTTGTTGTTGTTATTGCCATGGTAATCTGCAACACAATAGCTTCTGTATTATCATGCTCAATGACTCTATCTCTACTGAGAAGAGAATGAAAGGAATTCATTATAAATATAATCAACAATAAACATAGTAATAAAGTAAATTATATAGACTGTTAGAAGATAATAAATGCTATGCTCTCCAAAAATGAAAGAAAGAAAAAAGAAAAGAAAAAGTATAGGGCAGGATAAGGGAATAGCGTGTTTGAGGAAGGAGCTGAAGTTGTGTGTTTAAATAGGATGATGAGAACTGGCTTATGACAATGTAAGATCATGAGATTTGAGTAAAGTCTTAGACAGGGAGAGGAAGTGAGCCATATGGATCTTTGAGGGCATGGTGTTCAGGCCGAGGAAAGGAAGGAGGCTGGAGATTGATTGAGGAGCAGAAGGGAATTGCTGTGCTGGACCTGAGATGGTAGGAGCTGAGACTAGGGAGGTCACAGAAGCCTGAATCACATGGAATAGATGATAAGGGGCAAGGTAGGAGCAGGGGGGCCTTTCAGGAGGCCAGAGCAGTTCTCCAGATGGTATTGGGATCAGAATAAGAGCAGCAAAGGTAGTGAGAAGTTGTCAGAATCTGGATGTGTTTTGAAGAAAGAGACAAGGGATATTCTTGTCTCTTTGAATCTATTGATAGAGACAAAAACAGGTCTCAACCACAAGGAGCTGCAGCAATACGAATAAGGATTGGATATAGGATAGCAGAGTCAAGGATGAATCCAAGAAGTGCTCTGTTTTAGGCCAGAAGGATGAAATTGCCATCAACTAACTAACATGGGGAAGGTTGAGGGGTGCAGTGGGATAGGTAGGGAAAAATCAATTCAGTAGTGGACGTGTGAGTTAGAGAAGTATATTAGATATTCACGTGAAAATGATGAGTATGCTATTGGATATGCAGGTTTGGAGTTTAGAACAGAGGACTGGACTGGAGATATTCATTTGGGAGTTAATACTACCCAGTGTGTGGGTAGTATTTAAAGCCATGGAACAAGATGAGATCTTCAAGGGAGTAAGTAGAGACAGAGATGAAAACAAGAACAATGACTGAGCCCTGGAGTAATTAGAAGTTAAGAGGGGCAAAGGACTGCAACGAATGTGCATGACAAGGTCCATGTATTGCCATCAAAGTGAGTGGCTGTTTCTGTGAGGGTAGAGGTCAAGATGACTGAAGGAGGAGAGAAGTTTAATGACCTGGAATGGTGGAGTTTTGGAAGCATTATTATCTATGTGTTGAACATGCTCAGAAAAGAGAGGAGAAGTATTGGAGAGGATGCCAATGGGCTGATGTTGTTGGAAAAGGTGGGGAACAGTGTTGGGCAGGGGTATTACAGGACCAATGCATTCGTATGCCTGTTGTGCAGAAACAGATCAATACACCAAGACAGCAGGCTTTGCAGCAGAGAGGGGGTTTGATGACAGCAGGGAGGCCAAGTGAGCAGATGGGAGAAGACCCTCAAATCCATCTTTTCGAAGAGTTCTGGGCTGAGGTTTTCAAGGGGATTGTGGGGGTTGAGGGGATGAAAAATTGTAGTCATTGATTGGTTGGGGAAAGGGGGATGAAATCATCAGGCTGTAGAAACTGCATTCTTTTGTGAGTCAGCTTCTCATGGGGTCCTTCAGAGCAGCTGGCATCAGTAGTTTCATCAGTATGCAGGACTTATAAGAATATCTCAAATGGAAAACAACATTTCACAATGTTTAGTTGTTTTCTGTAGAGCAGTGAAGGGGAACTCTAATCTTGTGACAGGGTCTGTGTGATTCTGGAGCAATAGGTAGCAAAATACTATGAAGAAGGATCAGAGAACAGCTGACCCCATGACTATCGCTGAGTATGTGCAAGCTTGGCTTATTTTTGTTTCTCTTCCTCTCTTCTCTTCTGATTAATTTTATAAAGTCTATAGGGACAGTTTCAGGGGTGATAGATGATGATGGTATGAGATTTGCAGTAGAAAGGAAGGAGAAGGCTCTGGACGGGGAAAGGACCAGCAGGGCCCCTCCATCACTTCCAGGTCTGCAGGAGGTGGCAGGAGGGCCTGGAATGAAAAATAGCCTGCGGCCGGGTGCAGTGGCTCACGCCTGTAATCCCAGCACTTTGGGAGGCCTAGATGGGCAGATCACAAGGTCAAGAGATTGAGACCATCCTGGTCAACATGGGGAAACCCCGTCTCTACTAAAAATACAAAAAATAGCTGGGTGTGGTGGCGTGTGCCTGTAATCCCAGCTACTCGGGAGGCTGAGGTAGGAGAACCATTTGAACCCAGGAGGTGGAGTTTGCAGTGAGCTGAGATCACACCACTGCACTCCAGCCTGGTGACAGAGAGAGACTCCATCTCAAAAAAAGAAAAAGAAAAACAAAAACAGCCAGCGCATAAGAGAAGAGGTGAGCATCGTCCTCAGGGAAGAGTCAGTTTTTGTCAGAGCAAGGAGGGACTATTTGGAAGTTAGATTTGGGATGTGAAGAGTTTTGCTATTAGTGGATCAGGCTGATGGCACCGTGGACAGGTTTCAGGAGTCAGGAACGGGTGGGAGAAAGTTTCCCAGTGTGGGTTGTGCAGCACCTCCTGGCACGGAGAGTGTGGGTGTGACGAGTGGCTTGGGAGGCGAGAATGAAGAGCATGAATGCCGGCGTACAGCACTGAGCTCGCGTCTGCCACGTTGTAAGCTCTCAGAAGACCTCAGCTTCTATTCACTTTGTCACAAATCGATTAATTATTGAGCTGAAGGATATATTAGAAAAGGGTCAATAGCAATACTTCTAACTTCCAATCCGTACTTAGGCTTGGCATTCAATTGATGTTATCAAAACCTGTGCTAGCTCCAAGGAAGAGAGAACACTGTTTTCTGATTTAGTTGCTTCCTGAAAGGAGCTGAGAGCTGTAAAATGCAGGCAAGATTGGACTTTTCAGTAATGCTTATATATTGACTTGCAAAAACAGTATTAGAACATTTTTTTTTAATGCACATATTATCTCCTTAGGGTAAGGGAAAAGGTTTTATCCTTTTATTTTTGCATATCCCCTTTGAGTGAACATGGTTCTTTTTTCTTTAACTTACAACTTTACAAGGTATTTGGAGAACTATAAGGGAGAGAGAGTTTCTGTTTCTTATCTCTTTAAGCAATACCCTCTTGTATACCAAATAATATCTTCCTGTGGTTAATGATATGAGAAACGGAACACTTCTCCAGAAACCTTTTCACATCCCAGATTCAGAGTTCCTGTGCCAGGAATCTGATCTGACGTATTTTACTACTTAGGTAAATCCTTAATCTCAAGAGTGACAAGAGTGAAGTCTTTTTATGTTTGTGTGTTAGAGATGGGCCTCCTTCTGTCGCCTAGGCTGGAGTGCAGTGGTGTGATTACAGCTCACTGCAGCCTCAACCTCCTGAGCTCAAGTAGTCCTTCTGCCTCAGCTTTCTGAGTTGCGACTACAGCCATGAACCACTGCATCCAGTTCAGGTTTTTTGCTTGTTTGTTGTTTTTCTTAAAAAACACTAGTGATTCTATTTTGATTCTGGCAACTTTCATAAGGTCCAGGGACAAAATAAATGTGTTGTCTCCTGGGAGGAGATGGATTTATAAGCCCATGGGCACCATTCAGAAGCCGTGTGCCCTGGAAGCACCAAGGAATGTTGCTTGCTCCACCTTCCCAGGTGCTCAAGGCAAACCCCTGGGTCATCCTTGACTCTTCTTTTGCTCTCACAGGGCACACTCAATCTATAAGGAAGTTAACTTGGCTCAGGTAGTTAAAAAATCTATCTGAATGTAGGGGCCAGGCACGGTGGCTCATACCTGGAGTCCCAACTACTCAGGAGGTTGAGGCGAGAGGATTGCTTGAGCCCAGGAGCTCGAGGCTGCAGTGAGCTATGATCATGCCACTGCACTGCAGCCTGGGCAGCTGAGCAAGGCTCAGGCTGGTCTTTAACTCCTGGCCTTTAGTGATCCTCTTGCCTTGTCCTCCCAAAGTGTTGGGATTATAGGCATGGACCACTGAGCCCTGCCTAAAACTTTTATTCAGTGACTTGGAAGAATGTTCTGGTGCACAGGAAAACCCTGGATGGAGAGAAGGTTGAGGCATTTGAGAGGTCAGAGAGAAGCAAGGTATCCAAGGACAATGGAATTGGCTGGTTGTTGCTCAATTGCATTGGGGCTCTACAGTAGGATAATGAAAAGCTGTAGGCAGGTAGGGAGCAATTGAAAGCCAAGTGTGAAGGCCTGAGGGCCTCCAGGAAAGAAGCCCATATTCACTCAATTCAGTGTAGAAAAAGCAGAAGACCAAACTATGGATTTAATAGGCTTGCTTAGCTTCAAAGATGATTATCATTACGCAAAGATCAGAGGACTGGTTGGGAAAACATGGAGCTCTTGTGCACGGAATGGGGACATTTGGGTGGATGCCTCCAAATATTTTGAGTTCTCAAACTCTTCTAAGCCCTCGGAGCCTGCAGCAGTGGCTCACCCTTCCCTGTTATGATCTGGAACTCCCACCACAGAATTCCGTTTCCATGGGCCAAGAGGGTTTCTCAGGATCCTCAACTTCTTGCCTGCTTGCCAGACCAATCACTAGAGGTAAGTCACAACATCACCAAGCCAAGAATATTATGGCAACATTGATGAGCTAGAAGGAGACTGTACCTCCCCCAAACTGTGAGTAATTAGCCCCCATGTACTAGAAGGAAGGAACTGGATTTCGAAGGTGCTTGATCAAGGAGCAGGATAAAGGCAAATAAAGGGACTTGAGGGCATTTTCTCAGGATGTGGGACTTAATGCTTGGCAAAGACCCTAGAGGATAGTGCAAACTTGCTGCTTGGGTGGTTCAACAAGCCTGGAGATAGGTCCATGCTGAGTGGAGCTGAAACAGATTTTTAAAGGCTCAGGGAAGTGAACATTGCTGGAGAGGGTATATTATGGTGATCAGAAGACCCACCAGAGGATTACAAAGCACAAGGAGGTCTGGAGAACACAGCATTCACCAAGCCATTGGGAAATTACCTGGAGGCTTTCCTCTGCAGACCACAACTGGTGGTATGAAAGGCTGTTGTGGAGTTGAACCCACAGAGAGCAGTGATGATGGGGTGAAACAGAGGGGACTCTTGTGAGGATACTTCTTAATACATCTAATTAAAAGAAAGCCAACACAGGCCAGGCATGGTGGCTCCCACCTGTAATCCCAGCACTTTGGGAGGCTGAGGTGGGTGGATCACTTGAGGTCAGGAATTCAAGACTTGCGTGACCAACATGGTGAAACCCTGTCTCCACTAAAAATACAAAAATTAGCTGTGTGTGGTGGTGTACACCTGTGGTCCCAGCTACTTGGGAGGCTGAGGCAGGAGAATCACTTGAGCCAGGAAGGTAGAGGTTGCAGTGAGCTGAGATTGTGCCACTTCACTCCAGCTTGGGGGACAGAGTGAGATCCTGTATCAAAAAAAAAAAAAAAAGGCCGACAAGGATGCCCAGGAGGCTGAGGGTGTTTGCTCTATCAAACATTTGCAGTCCCTTGTCTAGTACCTAGAACCTGAGGCAGTTTTCAGACCTGGAATCCCCCAATAGAAAGGGTGGCCACATTCCTAGGATGAAGGACCCAGCAACACCACATGAAGCCTATGATGGTATCATTCCTTTTGTCTTTCCCCAAAGGACATTTATTCAAGTCACTCTACTCTGGGAAAAAACTCCCAGATGTTTTGAAGATTACTGGATGCCCTGTAGGGATGGATGGAGGTAGGCATTGAGGTGTGCAATGACTCAGATCTTCATTGGAGAAAGGACTTACCTGGCAGCTGCAAGGAGTGTGGGCAGCTGACAGCTTCTAGCTGCAGTACCTGGAGGATCTGCTTCAGCTTTTGAACCAAGACCACACCTTTTCTAGGCAGCTCCCAGCCAATACCGGCACCATGGCAGTACCAAGGCTGCGTCTGTCCAACACAGGAATCCTCTTTGCTCCAGAGCTTCCCAAATTCTTCCCAAAGAATTTGAATTCTCAAATTCCCACGGATTTGAGCTTGGTCAAATCCGTGCCCAACCCACCAAAATCTGAGACTCTCTCTTGTCTATCTTGTTTTCTACCCTTTTTCCTTTAAGTGTCAAATCTGCATCGTGATCTGAAGGCTTTCCATGCTTGGGCAATCTTCATATTTCCTCTTACGCTTTTTACAAACATTACCCCCCAACTCCAAATCTCTTGCACTTCTAACTCAACCTCATTGTCTGCTTTCCTGAGGATGCAACTGACATGATGCTCTGGTCTGCTCAGTTGTAGTCTGTTTAGCCACAGATAAGGCAGTCGGGTACAGTAAATGGCTTTGCAGAGGCTCGCTAACACATGGAAATGTTTATACCCATTTAAAAAGTTGATTCACAAAGTAGTACTAGATTTTCTCATTACAGTATTTTAATGCAGGGGCTCGTACAGTTAAAATATTCTGGAAGTTAAGTAGGAAAACTACATTGAAGATAAATCTACGTTAATTACAGATGCAAAATTTTTGTTTTAAATGTAAGCATCTATCCTACTCCCTTCGACCAGAGTTAGGCTGGGGTTCTATGAATTGCACACAGACGTTTCTTGCTTGTTACGGAATTTGCTTTTTGTATTTTGGAAGCAGCTAAATTCTGGGCAACAAAACCAAACTGGTCTCACATTTAGATTAAGCACCTTCAATGGCTGAGCCACTTCCTCTTGAATGTTTGATAGTCACCCAAAATTGAGGACAGTAGTGGATACACTCTTCGCCTTCTGTTTCAACACTCTCTTGCCTTTTTTATTTCCTAGTGCTATTTGTGGCACCGCAATCGTATATGTTTACTAGGTTTAGACAACAACACCATCTTGGCTGACACTTTAAAAAAAAGATTTGAGATCCTTGACAACAGCTCAATTCCTCAGACTTAGGAAGAGGTCACATGGCTTCTCACAACAGCTAAGACAAGGGTGGGAGTGGGAAAGTCTTTCCATTGCTTCATCTAGGCACTTAGTAAACAAAACCAGTTCCTCAAAATAGCTTTTATACAAAGAACATAATCTTTTACCTAAGAATCTTTATTTGGGTTTCCATCATCCAGTCTTTTCCTTTTTTCTCTTTTAAAGCTCGAGGCCCATGGACTTTGAGATTTGTTGCATCTTTATCCACAAATCTCCTCCCTTTAATAACCAGTCTTCTCAGAACTTAGATTCCAGCCAAGCCAACACCTTCAACATCTTCTTCGGATGTTGACTATTACCAGACCATTTTCCAGCCATTCTCATTTTATCAATATCTCCTTCAATCTCGAGATTCCTTCTTAAGAACCATTTCCTTCTAAAGGTCTATTCTAACTGCCTCCAAATGATTTCTTCTTCTTCATCATTATCTTAATGCTTCCTTAGCCATGAGCTTGTTTGTACAAGTGTAAAGATAAATGGCGACTGGCAGAATGCCTGTGCTTGAAAGATACAACGGGCTTATTTGCCAATTTCTTCTGTCCTATAGAACTGTGGTTACACTACTCCGCCTTCATTACAATCACAAATGTGTGAGAATGAAGGAGAGGCCAAGCATGCCTGTAATCTTGGCATTTTGGGAGGCTGAGGTGGGAGGATTCCTTGAGCCCAGGAGTTTGAGACCAGTCTGGGCAAATGGTGAAACCCTGTCTCTAGAAAAAATACTAAAAATTAGCCTGGCATGGTGGTGCATGCCTGTGGTCCCAGCTACTCAGGAGGCTGAAGTGGGAGGATCACCTGAGCCCAGGAGGTAGAGGCTTCAGTGAGTCCTTATTGCATTGCTGCACCCCAGCCTGGGTGACAGCTAAACCTCGTCTCAAAAAAAAAAAAAAAAGTAAAGGAGAAATCACCATCTGAAATCTGAGGATTGAGGGACTAATTTGGCTACTTTGTAATTGTTTTATTATTATTATTATTATTATTATTTTGGGATGGAGTCTCACTCTGTCCCCTAGGCTGGAGTACAGTGGTGCGATCTAGGCTCACTACAACCTCCATCACCCAGGTTCAAACGATTCTCCTGCCTCAGCCTCCCGAGTAGCTGGGACTACAGAACTACAGGTGCCCGCCACTACGCCTGGCTAATTTTTTGTATTTTTAGTAGAGACGGGGTTTCACTGTGTTAGCCAGGATGGTCTTGATCTCCTGACCTCGTGATCTGTCCATCTCGGCCTCCCAAAGTGCTAGGATTACAGGCGTGAACCACTGCTCCCCACCTGTGATTTTTATAAGTTGTTTGCTGTCAGAGCTAAGGATTTTACTTGAGTTAACAAATAACTATGCTCTAAGTAACAAAAATGCTTAGCCAAAGACGTGCCAATAGTTTTCCTGGTATTAGCTGGTTCCCCCTTGAGTTAAAACATACCTATGAGAACACATAGGAGGACATCTCTCAAAATGTAACTGGCACCAAGCTATTTATGTATACCTGTTTGCTTGTCATCCATTGAGCCAGACATCTGACATCTTTGTTGCCTTTGTGTTTCTAGGTCTTGGTACTGTTGACATTTGATAAATGTTTATTTCTTGATTTTAATTCGTAGCCTTTGTTTCATTTAATACTTAAGTTCTTCATGCCAGAATTGTCTGGATGGAAGGCAACTGGAAGTTTAACAGAGATAAAGGAAATCGAGGTCACAGTACATTCCTCATAGTTCTAACATCTGCATTTCGGGAACAGAAGGCAAACGTTTTAAATGTTTTGCTGATTGCAGTTAAACAAAATGATCAACTACTCATCATGATACAGTTCAGGGATGTATGTCTGCAATTCACACATTTCATCTCCTAGCTTGTTCTTCTCTCAATAAAGAGGTCACGATGGGAGTGACTTTTAGGCTAAGTGAGAAATGGTTACCTTTGCCTTTGTGTCTCTTGTAATAATTGTTGCATTGGGTACGGATTACATGTGATATGTGCGTTGTGATCTGCTTCAGAACAGGAGAGGACATGTGTTGGTCTTCCCCAGGATCACCTCTGAGAACCACTTAAAACTCCAGTAGACACAGCACTGGAGACTGTCCCGCAGAGAACTGTTTTAACTGGCCATCTGCCTCCTCACCCTCTAGATTATGGACCTGTGTTTTGCAGCTTTTAGGCTCCAGATCTTTTTTTTTTTTCCATCTCAACCCCTAAATCCTAACAAGGCTAAATAGTCTTTTGTTTCTTTAAGTGTGTAGAAGCTATTCCAAAGCTTTTTAGATTTCATTGACTAGTAAATTTCCAAAAGACACTTTTGAAGCCTTGCTTAAAGTTTTTAACATTTTTATTTTATCAGGTAAAAATAGTTCTTAAAAAGAGATTGTCAAAGATATGTATATATATTTTTCTAGAAATATTTACTGTGGCAGATATTCCTCTCTCCTTCCTTTTTGGCAAAACTTCAATTTCATGTGGGAGTTTATCCCTCTCCCATATGAGTTAAAATTTAATCTTGACAAGTCGAAGCCTCTAAGTCAATATCCTTGAAAGTGATTGGCTTAAGGGGAGGCATGAGATCCTTTTCTGGACTGCTATGTACATGGGAAGGTCTGTTAGGGGTTTATGCTGGTCTGTTTCCATTTGTCCCGCTCCATCCAGAACTCATCTGTCT